CCCCCCCCCCCGCGTCTAGCCAAGCCACCAAAATCCCTTCTAAACGTTCTTCTTAACCAACTCTTGGTTTTCCTCAGAGAGCCAAGAAAGCCAAAAAGGGGACAACCACATCTCTAGCTGGGACCTCTCAAAAGGTTTCAGTTATTGAAACTATTCTTATCCCCGAGGCACTTTCTGTTATCCCTCCCAGCTCTTTAGTGATTTATCCCATCACTGTCGTATTAGTGGTACCTTCACCAATCACTTCAATGACCCAAATCACTGAAAGTGTAGATATCAGCGCCGCCACCGCTGAACACCCACGTCTATTCTCAACCATTTTCTCTTCTCCTCCCTCCTTGGTCTTTACACGTGTCGATGATGTATCAGTGACTGTCCTTCCTGATACTGAGACACGCACCACTGGACCTGAGGCTGCTCCTCTCGATGCTCCTCACCATGCGGATGTCCATCCTCTCGAGGACATCTTTGTTTATGCCAGTGACAATCCTTTTGATGTCACTGAAGGCCCCTCAGGTATTCCATTTTCCTACCCTTTCTTTTCTTCTAACCTTGAGCCTTCAAATCACACTTCTTCTTTTGCAGGTCCTTCTCAGGAAGTGATAGAGGAAGAAAGAGAGAAAAATGATGGAGGAGATGAAGAAATTGATGATGACTATGATATGTCATATGATATCAAGCTTCTCCTTCCTGCCGTTGATACCGTCCTCTCCAGGATCAACGAAGTTCACCAAGAGATGCCCCGTCAAGGCGATCTTGATGCGAACTTCCTTGCCCTCCAGGTGGATGTTCAAGAAGTTCAGAGTCAGCTCCAGACTCTCCAAAAAGTTGTTCAAGCCAACAACGATGCCATTGTTGTTCTTCACAGTAGGGCTGACGATGCTCAGGCTATAGCTGATCAGCAGACTGGTCTTCTTCAACAAATCTTGGATGCTGTCCGTCAACCAACTCCAGTGATTGAACCTTCTTTCTCTGCCAATGATCGCTCTCAGCTCCATGAGACGCGTGAGGCAACGACAACTCTAGCCAATGTTTTGCAAAGGCTGGAGGATTCAATGGTTCTCCAGCGTCAGCGCTTGGACGAACTCTCTGGCCAATTCTCTCGAGCCTTAGCCAAAGAGGGGGGAAATAAGGTCCATTGCTGGTGAATCATCTGATGCTGCTCCTACAGCTTCTCAGGCTGTTGGTCTAGTATCAGCTTCAGTTGCAGTTGAAGCTGAGGCTCTCGGAGCTGAAGCAGTTGTTGCTCCTGTAATCCCTACCACAGAAGCTGTTCAAGTTGAGATTGTAGATGTCATCCCTAGGGATGATGCCCGTACCATCACTGATGTTGGTGATGATGATGATGTTGATGAAGATGAAGATGATGATGAAGACGATGATGAACCTGTCATTCCAGACACCAAAGATGATCAAGATGGTGACGACGACGATGATGATGAAGATGACTTTACCATCAAGTTCCAGAAGCCATCAACCGTCAACAAAGGTGTTGCTCTCGGGGATTCTGCATCCCAAGGGGAGCAAAGGCAAGGTGAATCGACTCCATCAGGGAACCAGGACCCCAAGTCGAAAGGCAAGGCGGTCGTTGAAGAAGGTAACTTGAAGGTACTATTCAAAATCCCTCAACAAACCTTGTTTGAAAACTCTACCTCTCAGGTAGTGATTACTTCAGAAAATCAACTTCATATTCCATCAACAACCTACGGTCGACTGGAGCAGGTATCTGATCAGCCCGTCTCTTGTGCTCCAACAGACCAGCAGATGTCTCAGCTAAAGGAGTCACTCGACCAGACTAGAGTAAAAATCCCTCTTCTTACCTCTAGTGGTGGTGAGTTTTACTTCTTATCTGAAGCTGAAAGACTCGAGGCATTAAGGGCTGAAGAAGAGTTAGAGCTTCAAAAAAAGCAGACTGAAGACAGCTTAAAGCTGGCCAAGTCACTAGCTGCTAAAGTCTTTCCCAAGAAAAAGTCCAAGAAAACAGTGAATGTTGTCCAAGCCCAAGCTAGACTTCTTTTGATTGCAGAAGCTGAACGCAAGAAGAAGCTGAAGCTGGATGATAAGGACAAGCAATGGAGCGAAGCAAAACTGAAAAAGAGACTCAGTCGCCGCCCAATTATCAGCGTCAGCATCAGCGGACGTTCTAAAGATGGTGGAATGCTGGTCTCAATGCTCATCACCAGGGACAATCTTGATGCCGTTACCGAGTACCCTTCCTACCTTCGCTGCTATGGACACAACGAATGGATGGAGATCAGACAAGCCATTTAGCAATCCAAGTCGAGACACAAGACACTTATCAAGGACACCATCAACAAGCTCATCAAAAGGATGTCAAGGTATGTCAAGGTCCTTGACCGGCCAACTCTGAAGAAAGGTGGGAAGAAGAAACAAATACTCTATGACCCTAATGAAGGACCATACCTAAGGAATGAACATGAAACAAGGTTCTCCTTAGATGAAAACCTGAAGGTTCATAAGAGTACAGACATTTCTATGTTGAATCTTGACTTGCCAGATAAGGGTCCCTATACACCCAACTCTGTGCATTTTAAACCTGAGTTAGGAGTTATATTCCTTAAATATGAAGGTGAAGTCAGATTTCAGAAAATGTCAGAGCTACATCTATTTCCAATGGATCACGCGGTTTATCTTTTGCTCTGGATAGATAATAGCATGTCTGGAAAAGTCGTAGATCTGAAGATATGAAGGGAATTCCTACGTCGAAGAAACCTTGGGGAAGATGTACCTAATTACATAGATCTAAGTGTTCTAGAATAAGACTCTCTTTGTAACAACAATCCACTTTTCCTTGTAACTTCATGTACAATATCTCCTTTTAGTGATTATACTTATATTCTGTAAGTTCTGGACATGTACTGTAATACTTGTGATATTTCCTATGTTTAATAAAATGAGTATTCCATGTACTTCACTGAAAAAAATCCCTAAAAAAAGTAATAGGGACACAAGTCTATGAGTTCCAGTGTTACTTTTCGCATTCACTGACAGTCTATAAGTCAGTGAATAAGTTTTCAGTTTCAGTTTTCGTACTTTTAATTTTCTTAGATATAACTAAAGAAAAATTATCAAGTTGAGACTAACCAAACTAAAAAGGATCCCAAAATAATAAAAAGGGACATGTACTTTATATGTAACCTTTTTCCTTACTATTATTTGATAAGATAACCTTCTTTATGTTATCTTGTTATCATCGAATAGGGGGAGATTGTTGATCCTCGCTCTTGGTGATTTGATGATAATCCCTTTTCTCTTTCACGTTGTATATGTGTTTCTATATTTTCAGTTCCAGCGATCTTCACTGAGTATGTTCAGTAATCGTTGAAGAACTTTCATTGTAAATCTATCAGAGACATCAATACTTCAAGAAGACAACACTCACACCAAAGAACCTTCAGCAAACATCGAAGACTGAAACTGAAGATTAGAGACCGACGAGTACATGATCTGAAGCGGTATTCAGTGATTACAAGCCTGTCTACATATGTGTGAAGACTGCTCAAGCTTTAGCGAATGATAATGAGACCTGCAGGTCATTACAGTATTCAGCGATCAAATGAAGCTTGCTTAGAACGATTGTTTTTGTCTTGTTCTTATGCACACAAAGGACAAAACCCATACCCTTACAAAAGTTAGTACTGTACGGAGCCTACTAGTCGACTCTTTGTCCACCAACTTTAGGTAAGGATGTCTGCCTATGAATAGTGCTTTTATACGTATTCACTGTAGCAAAGGACAAGCCTTCCTCTTAAGGCTTGACACGCACTCTAAACCTACCATATTGCATTAAATTGACATTTAATGCACTGAGTATAAATAGAAGTGTTTCTTCTCCATGCAGAGAGCGCGCATCTCTCTCTCTAACCTAATTCTTACTTCAAGCATCTTCTAGCTTAAGTAAAGGATCTTTCTCTTAGCAACCTCTTTTCTTGTAATTCCTAAAGCTTTGTGTGTAACCAAAGATTGTTTAGATAGGTTTTTTATTACCTTATCTTTCCGCAAACAATATTGTAAAATCTGTATTGATCTTCTCTATCAATATATATTTTAAATTTGAAAATACTGTGTTTGTATTCATCCCCCCCCCCTTCTACAAACTGTTTCTCTTCTTGTAGACCCTTACGGGACCAACAAAAGTATTTAAGTATAAGTGGAAGGAGAAACACCAAGATGAGTTGGTGAGGACGATTTCGGTCGAGGAGCATATTGATGTGTTCCAGAAAATTCCACCATTCCTTGACAATTATCAACAACAGATTCGGTCGCTGAAAAAGAAGAACATTGTGATAAAAAAGAAGGAAATGCAGCGTCTGGTGCTGCAACATTCATTCCAGCAACAACAACACAACCTACTCCATTGGAGAAGGGCAGGTTTAATCACGACTCTTTAGCTTCAAAATTTCTTCTTTATTTTCATTTATTTTGAGTTTATTTTAGGATTTTATTTTTGGAAAGCCAAGTAAGTTGTTCTTATTATCTAAATGTGTTCATAGCTTGAATAAACTACTAGTTTTTTTTTACCATCCTTTAACCTACCTTGTTTTTTCTTGCTAGAACTAGCTACTATATTTTTTGGGACACAATTTGGTCTAAACTTGCTCCAAAATTCTAGGAAAGGATATAGGCCATTTGTTCTTTTCATCATAGCCATTTGACACCCTTGCTCTCAATAATTCATCCAAAAACAAGACATTGTTTCAAATGAGTTTGGGGGAGGGATATCCAAAAAGGCCAAAAGATCAACACAAAATGAAAAAAGCTCTAAAGAGATGCCTTGTTTTGGATTTATCAAAAGCACTAAAAATGTCCCATAGGGATAAAGTGTATGTTATCAACAAAAGAGCCAAAATTCCAAAAAGTGAGAAGTTCCAACGATGAAGCAAAAATGAGAGAAAAGTTTTACTTAGATCTAGGCATTTATATTGAAAATGTCCAAGTATGTGGCACCCGTAACATTCAACTAGGGACTTGTTGAATGATCATCTTCCTTGTGATCCACCTTTTCCTCTGAAACGTCCATGATAATATCTTCTTCCTTTTGACCATTGATTGCCTCTCTTATCATTAGAAATCTTTAGGACCTGTTCTTCTTCCTGTCGACCGAGCATTCTCTGTTCTTGTACAAGAAGACTACCGTGAAGTTCATCAGTAGTCATGACATCTAGATCATTAGATTCCTCGACGGAGCACACCACATAGTTGAACTTTGGTGTGAGGGATCTAAGAATCTTTGCGACAAAAGAATTTGTAGTCAAAACCTCACCGTTTTCCTTTATCTCGTTGACAATTGTGATAGTTCTTGCCAAGTATGCATTAATCCTTTCTTTCTCTTTCATGGTCAACAATCCGTACTATTTTCTTAAAGCTTGTAGTCGAGCCCTCATGACTTTGGTTGTTCCTTGATGTTTTTGCTTCATTGAGTCTCAGATAGCTTTCAAAGAACTTTTGTAATGGTTTCTAGGATATCTCTGTCAATATCCTGGAAAAGATAGTTCAAAACCTTGACATCCTTGAGTTTTTGATCATCTGCAGTCTGTTTTGCTGCCTCACTTGTAGCAGTTGATCTAACGGCAGTTATCGGAATACCCTCTTCAGCTATATTTCACATATCTTTGCTTCAAAAGAAGTTCTCCATTAAGATTGACAAGTGATCGTAATGACCACGAACTTATTATTAGTTGAACAAATCGATCAAGCATATCTACAACAGTTGCCATTCTTCTCTCTTTTTTGAGTTCTTATCAGGAATGTGCTCTCCATTGATAAGCTTCTGTTACAAATGTTCTGCAATCATTTGTATCTGCTTACGTCTTCCAATTGATGTGGCTGTAATGCCACTTGTTGATTATACTACGATGGTATTTGGGAAAAGAAGTGATGATGTATTATTCAAGCAAGAACCTTAGCTAAAAAGACGGACACAAATTAGACTTATTCTACCTTAACTTTTTGTTTCACATGATTTTTCTTCCATCTAAATATAGTATTTAATTTATTAATTAACATATATTTGTTTCATATGTATTTGGTTCATAATGTGAAACTTTTTTATGTAGATTTTTCAAAAAGGTTGACATTGTGAAACAAATATATATTAATCACTACATTAAATTTTAGTCATAGATGGAAAAAGATCACATGAAATAGCACATGATGCACTGATTCTCAAAGGTCTTATGGTTTATAGAGAACTCTTAAAAGAAATGTCTCTTTCATTTACAAACCAATCTTGTCCATCCATCTACTTTAATAAATATATGATTTTATTTTGTTTCCGCATCTAAAGTCATGATCACATAAATGAACCTTATCATCTCTCATATATATCTCAATCGTAATTAATGAATCATGATAATTTTTCATAAATATCTCAATTGTTTTTTAATATAAGCATTGATTATAGTTTGTTAAAATTAAATGGTTTATAAATGAAACATCTTATATATATGTATAGGGAGAGGTTTATTCGAGAAGTGGTAAGTACTTGAGAAGTAAAGAAGTGATCTTACCTTTCATAAGGTCAATATTGATCGAGAATTGCGGCTTTGACTGGTCAAAACTTACGGCTTTGATTGGTGAAGATTTACGGCTTTTGACTGGTAAAACGAACAATAGAGGAGTAGTTTCGTAACTTTTACAAATAGGCGGCAAACAAGTGCATATGTTAATCCATGTGATACACATATGAACTATATGTTCCTATGTGAACTCGTATAATTCACATATGGAATATTTAATCGAGTCACATATGAACTAGTTAAATGATTCACATATAAACTCGGGTGATTAACATATGAATTGATCTATAAATGTTCTCACATTCTTATAAAACAGGGGTGTTTTCGTTTGAATCTCCACCTATATATATATATATATATATATGTATATAGACGAAAGATCGTGTGAGAATATGAGTTAAAATGATAACCATAAGAAGATATCTGGACCCCTTGATTACTTTTAATCTCACGTTCATCTCATGAATTGCGTTTCTCAAGGGAATTGATCTGTTCGCATTACTATTGATATTCAATTAGGATTGATCTAAATGTGGAGATCTCTTCTTACCCTTTTCAACATAACTTTTATCACCACTAAAAACAAACCCCATCTCTATACTATATTAAAAAGTATTTGACAAAAACACTTAAAAATCATTTTTTATGCATCTTATTGATGCATATTACTTAAAATTCAAGATTACAAGTAATTTTGTATAGGTACAACTTATTAAAGCTTCATTTTTAAAATTGTGTAACTAACTGCATATAAACATAATCAAATACAAGATAAATATCCATTTTAAAAATAGAAAATCTAAAATATAATTAAGATAATTATTGAGTTATAACAGGATGTTTAATT